ATGGAGGAAATTTTATAGAAGGAAGCAGCTGGCTAGCTCTAATCCAAAGGATCACTCTTCCTCCCTATTCATTCTGTCCGACTTCACATTGTCTCTCATTATACCTGCCTTGATCACTATGATGACCTTATAACTGGTCTTCCTGCTTTCATTTTCTTTGTCCTCCAATTTGTCTTTTGTACTGCCTCCAGAATCATTTTTCTTCTGCTCTGATTGGGCCATGTCAAATGTTTGGGCTTTTCTCCTTCCTTCTTCTATCCACTGAATTCCTACTCATCCTTTAAAGCAGGGGTGGGGAAACTATAGCCTCAAGGCCACATGTGGCCTTCTAGGTCCTCAAGTGCTGCTCTTTAACTGAATCCAAACTTCACAGAACACATCCTAAGGGGATTCAGTCAAACGGCCACACTTGAGGACCTAGAAGGTCACATGTGGCCTCGAAGCTGCAGGTTCCCACCTCTGCTTTAAAGTATAGGTCAAAAGTCGCTTCCATGAAAACTTCCATGATCGGCAACTCCCTTGATAATAACCTTGCTTTTCCAATCCCTTAAAAAAAGTTTTTTTTTCTTTCTGAAAAATGCTCTAAGTCACCACTGATGAAAGAAATGCAAATTAAAACAACTCTGAGCTTCTGCCTCACACCTGTCAGATTGGCTAATATGACACAAAAGGAAAATGACACATGTTGGAGGAGATGTGAAAAAAATAAAACACTCTTGGTGACCATTCTGGAAAGCAATTAGGAACTATGCCTAAAGGGCTATAAAATCATGCATATTCTTTGATCAAGTAATACCAGTATTAAGTCTGTATCCAAAAAGATAAAAAAAAACAAAACACAAAAATAAAGGAAAAAGACCTATGTGTACAAAAATATTTAATGCAGCTCTTTTTGTGGGGGCAAAGAATTGGAAATTGATGAGATATCCATCAATTGGGGAATGACTGAACAGGTTGTATGTGGTTGTGATGGAATACTATTGTGCTTTAAGAAATGATGAGGAGGATGCTCTCAGAAAAACATGAAAAGACTTACATGAACTGATGCAAAGTGAAATGAGCAGAACCAGGAGAACAGTGTACACAGTAACTAATATTGTATGATGATCTACTATGAATAACTCAGATACTCTCAGCAATACAATGATCCAAGACAATTCTGTAGGACTTATGATGAAAGGATTTATGCTGTCCATCTCCAGAAAAAACAAAACAAAACTGGTAAAGCCTGAATGCAGATCAAAGATACTTTTTTCAAAAACAAAACAACTTTTTTTCTGGGTAACTTTCCAATGTATTTACCATGTAATATTGTGTATTATCATATTTTCAGTATATTTGTCATATTGCCCTACTAAACTACAAGTCCATTGAGGTCAGGATCTATGCTTCATAGCTAGGTGGTACAGTAAAGAGAGTACTGGGTCTGGAATCAGGAAGACCTGAATTCAAATGTGACCCTAGACCTTGGTTAGCTGTATGACCCTGGGCAAGTTACTTAACCTCTGTATCAGTTTCTTCATCTGTAAAATGGAGATAATAATAAATAATGATAAAAAATAACAAACCTCCCAGGATTGTTATAAGGATCAAATAAGAAAATATTTGTAAAGTTCTTGACACATAATAGGTGCTAAATAAATATCTGTTCCTTCTTTTTCTAAATTTTATAATTTCCCTCAATATTAAGCATTTTACTATGTAGAATGTATAAACTTTGCATGAACATAATAGATAATGGTTTTTGAGTAAATGACTAAATTAATTTACAATGAATGAACTTGGGGTTTAGAGTGGTATCTTAGAAACTGTGCTGAATTTTGAATGAGTACTTTACTTAGCTTTGAATTGCACTCTGTCAGCTGTATGATAATGGGCAAATTACAAAAACTCACTGGACCTCAGTTTCCCCATCTATAAAATGATGACCTTTAAAGTCATTTTTAGGTCTGAATCTATGATCTGATCCTATCTCCATTGAAATGCCAGAGGCTAAAATATGGAAAACATAGGATGTTTACATGTTCAAAGGTCAGTTAACATTTGTCTTTTCCTCAAAATGCTGAGGATAATGATGATATTTTATCTTTTACCCATATTGCTGTGACTAAAAATGTACATTTTACAATTGGTGGTACTTATTGGTGGCACAACAATTTGCTTGGTTCTTTGAGGTATTTGTGGCAAACTTGTCTATATCACTCATGTGGTAATTAATCATATTTTATATTGTCACCATTGCATTCAAGATCTAGAGTAATACAGGACCACCTCAATGTAATTCTTGCTTACTCAAAAGAGATGGACCTAACCCCACAAAGGAAAACTAATGGTGGAACAATACCTTTTGCTCAGATTATGACATGAAATTAAGTGGATAGTCCATTGAGTTAGTCCATTAGGGAAGGGAAAAGGAAGGAAGGGAAACAAGCATTTATTAAGCTTCCTTATGTGCCAGTCATTGTGCTAAATGCTTTGCAAATAGGATCTCTTTCAAATCCTCACAACAACCCTGGGAGATAGGTGCTATTATCCTTCCCATTTTATAGTTGAGGAAACTGGTCACAAAGTTAGTAAATGTCAGGCTGGATTTGAACTCAAGTCTTCCTGACTCTTGCACCAGTGCTCTATGTACTGTGCCATCTAGCTGTTTTCAGGCATTAGCATAGAAATATAAATATATGTATGCTTTGGCAAGGCATTGTGATGGGATAATGAGCTGGGCTCAAAATTGAACAGAATGAAGAGAGCAGGTAGAGTTATTTTGGACTTAGAAAAGGGCATGCATATTTTTGCCCCTGGCCTAAGATCTTGCAAAGCAATGGCTGCTTTCCAGGTGTGTGATATATGGTTGCTCATTAATTGAGCTGCTAACATGAATATGCTAATATGCCTGTAATCTCAAGAAAACCTAACTTTCCTCTTTGAATGAACCACTTGTACAAGAAACTGAATTAACTTTTTCTACTTTGAAACGGTAATTAATGCAAAGAATGAAAGAATTGATTAAATCTTTATCCATTAAGTCGATAATAGAGCCACCACTTGCACTAGCACTTTATCCTTAGATATTAAGTGTCCATTTATTTATTGAAATGAATAATTGAAACTCTTGGAAAACATAGGTAAAAAAACTTAATTTTTTCCAAATTAACTGAGTAATTCTTACAGTACCAGAATTTAATCCTTAATTATTTGGATAATTGCTTCAAATCTCTATTTTCTTTTGCCAATAAACAGAGATGTTATTGACCATTTAATAGTAGTTTCTTAATTTAAAAGAGATGCTAATTATAAAACATTCTGAAGTGCTCCTTATTCAATTAAAATAGGAATTTAGTATCAGATAGTTATTATGAACATTTGCTCCTTAAATATAATATGCTCCTAAATGCACAAATTCCTATACTAGTCCTTCTTTGATGTATTTAGATCTACAAAATTGTAGCTATAAAGTAGGAAAGAAACCCTAATATAAGCAGAAAACTAATTGTGAATTAGGTAACATTAATGCAAAGTACATCGAACTTTGCACAGAAGGACCTGGGTTTGCATCGTGATTTCAAAGAATATGATCTTGGGCATTTCACTTGGTCTCTCTGAGCTTCATCAGTAAAACTGGAATAATAATTCTTGCATCACCTAATGTATGCAGGTTGTGAGGACCAAGTTAGGTAATGTATATAAAGGTCATTATATCCATAAATATCAGCTGTTATTATTATTACTAGTAGACCTTTTCAAAGTAGTATCATTGATTTAGAGTTAGAAGGGATCTTGGAGGTCATCCAATCCAACTTTAGTTTACAGATGAGGAAACTGAGGCCAACTATGCTGTAGAATTAGGTCTCAAATGCCGGTCGTCAACTCTGAAGTCAGCTCTTATTCCATTGTATCAGTCTTTATCCCCATAGATCCTGACATAATTGAAAATCTATTCTCATCAAATGTCTAAAAAGTATCAGGTCATTTGTCTGAAGAAAGAACTCAGAACGCAAACTACAATACATATATATGATAGGACTATAGAACAATGGGATTAGTTTTCAAGTGCAGTTGAAGAAACCAATTTTATTACATCGTAGTCACTCCTCATACCTTGACATGAACACCATCACACAAAAAAGTCTTCTACATATTCCCAATAAAACATTCCAATTTTGCCAAAATGACACATTTAATGAGCAAAAAAAAAAAATCAGGAAATTATCCAAGTTGCATCTATGTGGTAGTTTTGAACAAATGATAAACTCTCTGGGGCAGAGTGAGGAGAGCAGGAGGGAAGAAAAAAAAAGGGAAAAAAGAAAGTCACACAATCACTTTATATATTTAAAAGGAATAGCAAGATGTATATTACAGATTTGCAGTTTCATGTGCAATCA